GAGGACCGAGGGAAAGGTCGAGAGGCGAAAGGAAAGGGCAAGAAGGGCAAAGAGAAGGGCGAGGGCAAGAGAGCGGAGAAGTAGCAGAGAAGGTCTCCGCAGTTATGAAATCGGGCTATGAGGATGCAGCCAGCTTGGTTAGCCGGCCGCCACTTTTTCCGGAGATCAGCGCTTCGGAGCACCTTGACGGTGATGAGGCGCTGGATACAGTTGCCGAAGGACGACTACCTAGTCCAGATGTCCCGGCATACCTTGCCGCCGGCCCGGCATTTGATCACGGGTCCGAGCGTGAAAAAGTTTGCGTGAAGCCACCGAGCATGGGTGACAGTTTTTCGAAGCTTGCTCCATGGATGACCTTCACATTGCATGAGTCAGTGTCTTTCCTGGGACTTCCCTTGCAGTGTACGACCCAGCCCTCGGGTGACATCTTTCCGTTGCCCACCGATGTGAAGGTGCTCCACGAGCTCTGGGAAGACAAACCTGAGATTGATCATCTGGTTAAGGGCCTTTGTGTAGGTTTGAATTCCATGTATGGGCTTGAGCTTGAGAATCCTTCCCCCCCGATTTTTGTATAGAGGAGAGTGTTGGAGTTTCTTCGTTCACAGTCGCAAGTTGTTTCTTCGTGGGAGGAGTGGGGTAATTTGTCTCCGGCTATGCCCAAAGAGATCGCATCGGTCCCCCTAGCAGAAGTTTGTGAGTTGGGTTGCCGTCATTATGTCGAGAGTTTCCAATCGTACGTCCTGCCTGAGGAGTTGCAGCAGCCGATGAAGCCACCACGCGTCCTGATCACTTCCGAGGCTTGGACTGAGGTATGTCAGGGGTTGCTGGGGAACGGAGTGTGTATCCCGATGCTAGAACAAGATCTATTCCATGTAGATGGCGAACCACTTCTGAACGGACTCTTTGGAGTCCCCAAAGGGGAAGAGGAGGAAGGCGTGCCCATCCACCGTCTAATCATGGATCTCCGACCATGCAACAAGGTGGTTAGAGGCATCGAAGGAGACGTAGCCCCTCTACCTACTTGGGCGACGATGGCCCCACTGCAATTGATGCCTAGTGAGGACCTGGTGATTTCATCAGAGGATGTGAGGTGTTTCTTTTATATTTTTAAGGTGCCTCGGGAATGGTCTGCCTTCTTAGCCTTCAATCGACCTATTCCCCCAGAACTTTGTCCTGACGATCGAGGGACCTACTATTTGGCCTCACAAGTCCTCCCTATGGGATTCAAGAACAGTGTCAGCCTGGCGCAACATGTGCACCGTGTGATGGTGCGCAGAGCAGGGAGTAGCTCTGGTCAAGGACTCCAGTCCCATCAAGAAATACGGAAGGACCGTCCGTCCATGAACTGCATCGCATCTACTTGGGCAACTTTGACTTGCTAGAAAAGGTGGACAAGCGCACCACAACACTCCTACGAGGGGAGTTAAGTGAGAGTGTGCTGGCCCTACGTCATGAGTATGAGAAGTGGGGAGTGATTGCAGGGCGAGCCTATCCGAAGCCAGCCAAGATCCTTAAGTACGCACAGCTGGCCAGTCTCCTGGTAGGGGAGAAGAGATGTTCCGTCAAGCAAGCGCAAGTGGTGGCAGGAGGCCTGGTGTACATGAGCATGTTCCGCCGACCGCTGCTGGGCTCCCTCGACGCACTGTGGAAGTTCATCGAATCCTTCAAAGGTTATCCTCCAGTCATCCAACTTGAGATCCCCAGTGAGGTCAAGCTGGAGGTCTCGCGCTTCGTATGTCTCATACCCTTGGCCCAGATGGACTTTAGGTTAAACATCAGTCCGGAGGTTACCGCAAGTGATGCTTCCACTACGGGAGGGGGCCTCACGGTGAGCACCGGGCTGACAGGTTTTGGACAGGCCGCAGCAGTAGCCTCCATCCGAGGAGATCTACCTGAACCGTCAGATGTCTGTGCAGTTCTCACGGTGGGGCTCTTTGATGGTATTGATGCTTTGCGGGTGGCGGCCGATGCTTGTCGATTGCCAGTGTTTGGGCACATAAGTGTTGAGGTCAAGAAGGAGGCTAGTCGAACTCTTGAAAGTAAGTTTCCATCGACCGTGTTCATTGAAGCAGGAGTTGAAGCGGTGGACGATGAGAAGGTAAGAGGTTGGGCATGCCGCTTCTCTCAGGCGGCCGTGGTGATCCTCGGAGCGGGACCCCCTTGCCAGGGAGGCAGTGGGCTCAACAGTGAAAGGAGAGGCGCGTTGCGAGATCACCGAAGCTGCTTATTCAGCCATGTCCGACGCATCAAAGAGCTCCTGAAGAAGCACTTCATCTGGGCCCAAGTCAGGTACCTGACGGAGAATGTCGCCTCGATGGATGAAGCCGATCGAGCGGTCATGACGGAGGACTTCGGTGACCATCCTTCGATGATTGATGCGGCGGGCGTCTCTTTGGCAAGAGGCCGAGATTGTACTGGTGTGATTGGGGCCTCCTACCAGGGGAGGGAGTGCGTCTCTGTTCTTGGAAAGGCCAAGGAGCCACTGCTTTCCGTGAAGTTGAGCTTAGCGCTGAAGTCGACCCCAAGGAGTACCTCCAGCCGGGCAGCGCAAAGGCAAGCATGGAGCCGTTCCCGACATTCACGACGTCGAGACCCAGGAGCCACCCAGGCAGAAGACCAGCAGGATTGGACCGACTTACCCCAGAAGAGCGCCAAGACTGGGAAGCTGATTCCTTTCGGTTCCCGCCATACCAGTACCAAAGAAAGTTGTCAGCGGTCGATTCAAATGGACAACATCGTCTTCCCAACATTCGGGAACGTGAGACCATCATGGGGTTTCCAAAAGACTTTACGGTCCAATGCATGAGCAAACAGTTCCATGGACAGCCCCAGCATGAAGATGAGCGGAAGAGTCTCATAGGCAATTCGTGGAATGTCACGGTGGTAACTTGGCTCTTGGCCCAGTTGGGTCATCAACTGGGTCTGTGTCCTCTTCTCACACCTCAACAAGCAGTCCAAGTTACCGCTCCAGGTCGATCAGCCACCCTTAGTGGCCTGCTACAGCGCCAAGGCACGAAGAAGCTACCCAAGGGGCCCGTGCAAGGGGAGTGTGACTTAGTGTCCAAACTCCTAAACCTGGTTAGCCTCAAGGGGGAGGACATCATGGTTCAGGCATCTACGGAGGAGACCCTGCGATATCATCGTCTTCGAGCTAGCCTCCCAGCATCATTGTGGACCTGGAGGACTGTCATGGGCTGGCCATGGAAAGGTAGCCCGGAACATATTAACGTTCTAGAGTTGTGAGCGGTGCTCACTTCCTTGAGATGGCGGATCGTCAAGAAACATGCCATCCGATCGAAATTTGTGCACATGATCGATAGTTTGGTGTGCTTGCATTCGCTCTCTCGCGGCCGAAGCAGCAGCCGCAAGCTTCGTCGTACCATGAGTCGCGTGAACGCTTTGCTCCTGGCCAGTGGATCCCACGCCGTGTGGGCGTATGTCCATACGGGGGACAACCCCGCGGACCGGCCTTCCAGGAGGCCGGTGAAGAAGAAATGGTAGGACACAAAACTGCCCATCTTGAGGGCAGGGACAAAGCTGCGCGACAACAACAACGACGAATGCTAGGCCCATTGAGGAATCTTACTGTACAGCCCGCTACCCGAGAACGTTATGACCGTGCACTTGAGAAGTTCCGCCAGTTTTTGAAAGAAGAAAGCCGACAATTCTCTCGAGACCCAGGTACCCTCGATCTTTGGTTGAGCCAGTACATTGAAGTCCGCTGGGAAGGAGGCGAAGGGCGGGCCTTAGCAGCAGACACGATCGCCGCTGTACAAGACTACCTCCCAGCAGTCAAGGGGAAGTTGGCGGCATCGTGGAGATTGATGAAAACATATGAAAACATGGGCTACCAATGAAATACCCAATAGGGCTCCGCCGCTACCTCTCGAGGCTTTGGAGATGATGATCGGCCAAAGCTTGTTTCAGAAAGATGATCTTTTCGCCCTTTCGCTCATGCTTGCTTTCCATGGACTCCTAAGAACAGGGGAGTTATTGGGGGTTCAAAAAGCTCATTGCCAACAATCAGGCCCGCCAAAGGGGGCAAGAGGCAAGGAGCAGCAGAAAGCATCACCATTAGAGAGGAAGACACCCTTCGGAGACTTTGGCAGTGGAAAAATACCCCGTACTCCAGGAGCTCGTTGTGTGAAGCTCCGCACACCTGGCGCCAAAAGTTTGCTACTTGCTTGGAAGCCTGTGGCCTCAGCGACCACCAGTTTCGTCCCTACAGTCTAAGACGAGGGGGCGCCACCTGCTACTTTTCCAGGTATGGTTCGCTAGACCGACTACTCCTCCTAGGGAGGTGGCAGGCTGCAAAGACGGCCAGAGTGTACATAAACGAAGGACTTGCTACTTTGGCAGAATTGCGACTACAGACCAATGCTCAGGCACAGGCGTACAAACGCCAGTATGTCAGGTCTAAGAACTTAGAGCTCCAACCCCTTGGGCGGGCCCGGAAGGGCAGGCCAGGGGACACTGGAAAGGGAAAGAAATCTCGACGAAAGAAGGGCAAGAAATAGCCCTA